TGTGCCTATTTAAAGTGTCGAGTGTGATTACTTTGGGCATACAGGTACTCCCTGGAACGTCAGACATGAATGCGGAGACTTAAGAAGCCACAAGAAGGCAAAATGATAAACTCGGCTACTTATAGTTTAGAAGTAAAGCAGAACCACTATGAACAACGTCAGAAAGACAGATAGACGGACAGACTGGAGAAAATGCAGTTTCATCAGAGCTGAGCTAGTTTCCCTAGTGTTCAAAAACATCAACAAATTAACTAGAACAAGGCAAGGATCCGATGGGGAAAAGTGGCGAAGAATGCACAATTCCTAGAAGGGAGTTTATGTACACGGAGGAATCGCTCAGCCTCACAGGACACGTAAGCTGCCTGGAAGAGACTCTATGTCGCCTGAGCTCCCGGCGGGCCCCTCGGGGCGGGGGGACCTCCAGCTGCCCCTGCTGGCCTGCAGCCCCTCCCAGGACTCATCCTCTCTCTGCTCACAGTGCTCTTGCCCCCACCCTCCAGTCCAGTGGGCAGTGGCAGCTTCCACTGTCCTTAACCCTGCCCTGACCTTCGTAAGCACCCGCTTCCTTTAGTCTTCTCCTGATTAAAAAAAAAAAAAGCACCTCATAGACCCCATTTTTCATGTATCAAAAGCTGAATATTCCAGCGGTGGTGGCAGTGCAGGGAACTCATGGAGATAGTTGTGAAGAGTGTACATCGCTACTACCTTGTGAAGGGCTGTTCTGCGATGTCTGTCAAAATGAGATGTATGCAGTTTGATCAGAAACTCCACATCTAGGAGTATTGCACACAGAGAGCCCTCAGAGCACGGATGGCACGCGCACCTGAGTTTTTATTTATCATAGGTGTTTTCAGTCTTTACTCTTTCAAACACAGAGTCCACCTGGAAGGGTCTGGTTACGTCATGGTACCATAGAATCGGTGCTCATGGGGATTGTAAGGGAAGATGTTGTGTTATATATTTGTTACCAGGGTACAGATTAATATAATCTGTGCTGTTATTTTTGTTAAGCAGGAGGAAAAGGAAATTTGTGTGTGTGTGTGTTTGTGTGTGTGTGTGTGTGTGTGTGTGTGTGTGTGTGTGTGTGTATGAAACACGCTGGTCCAGTGGCTACCTCTACGGCAGGGACTGAGGACTGAGTCTCTGGTGACAGGGCTGGGGAGAGGGCCTTACGGTATATTAATCTAGAAAACATAATTCCGGTGCAGAGAGGTGAGAAACAGACACTTCTGTTTTGGGTGTGCTTGGTGTACTGACAAGTCTTCACCTGGTTGGCTTTAAAACGAAAGAGTTGCCTTTTCTCCCCTCCCTGCGCCCAGCCGAGCTTTGTTCCAGCTCCCAGGGAGCCAAGCCCTCGACCCCTTTTCCCATTGTCCAGCTTGAAATGCGGGTGCCCCGCTTGGGTGTGGGCTTGCAGGGGTGCCTGTGGCTGGGGGTGGGTCTGACCTACAAGTCCTCTCCCTCATTCCTCCAGGTCTTGGGGGAGAAGGGGAGGGACAGGGGCAGTGTCTCTTGCTAGAGGCCTCTGGCTGGCCCTGGTGGGACAGCCCTGCTGCCCGGGTCAGAGCCGGCTGTCCCCAAGGGCCCGCTTCGCCTGTTTCTGCAGGCCCGGCGATGGGAAAGGCCCACCGGCATCTGGTTTCCTGAGTACAGAGGGCACTGCTCCGGGAGCGAGCTCAGGGCCAGCCTCCAGCCACCCTCTGGCTCCCAGAGGTGTAGGTGCAGAGACAGGACCCGGGACCCTTGCCCCCGGAAAAGTGGGCGCCTTGTCGGGCAGAGAGGACAGCTGCCTGGTAGGAAGGTCAGTCTTCCCACTGCAGGGGGAGGCTCGGTACCAGAAGAGACAGCGTCGTGTCTGTTGGTGCCAGGTGCTGACTGGGTATTTGCCATGTCTCTGTTTATTTTTTTAGTCTGATGGAGGAGGGTTAAGAAAGGGAAGTTGACCACCACCTCCGTTCATTAATCAGAAAATACATGAGCCCACGTCCAGAGCGGGCCGCTGTCCCCTTGCAGACCTGCCGTCTAGTCCTCTGCACTCCCAGCACACAGGGCTCCACTCCCTCGCCGCATCCTCTGTGGAGGAACTCAGTCCTGAGGCTGCAGCCCCCTCCAAGGACTGTGAGGTCCCTTGGTGACTTGGAGAGGGGTGTTCCACCCGTGTCTCTTTGGGAACATTGCTGGGTGTAATTGAGACAGACATCCCCACTCCCTGTGGTGGCGTGCGAGTTGGGATCCTGGTGCGTCTAGGGGCAAAAATAAGGGTTTTCTTTGTTTTGCAGAGGTACAAAGAGAAGCAAAAACGGCACAAGAGCAGGAGCCACGGGGCGGGCCCTGGGTCCCGCAGCGTCTTTGTGGGGTCTTCTCAACATCCGCTCGCTGAAGCGTGGAAAG